TGCTGTCATTTCCTCATGTATACTTTTCTCAGAATTCCAACTCGCCCAAGTTATAAAGGCTTCTGCAAGCAGTTTCCCTGCTTCGCAGGCGGCATAGATATAATAGTGATTCAATTAATTTTAGGCCCGGATATGAGTAGAAGTTACTGGTTTGTCGCTTCTTGCTTTCGGCTTGAGACTGCTCTTTCCACCACGCGATCGCCATCTGAACGTTCGACCTTCTTGCCCTTTTTGTTGGACTCTCTCGCCTTTCTTAGAAAATGTCTCCACTACAGTCGGATGCCAAGGCCTCTTCTGAGATCCTTGTGGTAGACTCCGAAGCATTTTTCGCTTTTTGGCAATGTCAGAAAGTTCATGCTCCGTGTCATCAAAATTCGATCCCGGTTTGCGTTTCGCGCGTTCGGTGCAAGCGGTTGCGGATGTCACGAGGAAGAAGAAAGTACCGGATAGTTGGGGGAAAGTAAAGCAACGACACACTGAATCGAACATAGTAGCCAACAACAAAGCAACTCTGGAGGGCAAAAAGGAGGTACTCAAGATGAAGTCCTGAGCCCCGAATATAGCAAATCGGCCAGAAGAAAATGGGCAACATATGATATACAGTATGTCAAGTAAAAGCGCCGATTCACAAACCTGCTTGTTGATTGAGTTGGTTCCAAGACTGGAACGAATGTTAGCTACATCCCATCGTGGCCAAACACAAATTCAATTCCATCCATTTCTGTCTTATCAGCCTTCCCTTTCCAGCTACTCTCTATTTTCAAGAAACAACATCTATCCCCGAATCCATTTGCATCCAATTCATCCGAGGGTTTATCTGCATAAAGGTGAAAGATGCACTTCGCCCGTTGGAATACTGACTGGGTACAGATGCGTACACGATTTCAGAATTTTAATGTAGGAAGACACAGGGGTATTGTAGATATATGTGATGTTGTTGCTACTAACATTGTTAGATGCCAGTTTGCGATAGTGCATAGCTAATACCTCAGGATTTGAGCAGGCCTAAGGATCAATTAATACATCACCCACTATTCCGATATGGTGTAGTGGCTAACATTATCGCCTCTCATCGTGAATGATAATTGAATAATGCTAGAAGCGCGATAGCCCGGGGTTCGATTCCCCGTCTCGGAATGACTGTGCGGAGAACGATTCTTTTTGATGGTGCATGCTTGACTTGACCAATATAATGTATGTATATGAGGAGTACTTTCAATCCATCGTCGCGAGGTTGAATGGGCTGGAGATCCCGCTCTGATCAGCAGAGACCTCTGACCCCTTGCATGACAGGCTCTGTCTCACCGTCCGTTCATACTATCGGTAGAAACTGGCATGCCTAGACTTGGATACATTTACGGTACACTTTGCATCACATACAAAATCACCCATTCAAACACTCAACTCCACCTTCTGCGCTCCCTTAATAGCTGCCTGCGCCTTCTCATCCCTCAACGCCGGCTCAACCCAAATCCTTCAAAAACGCATCCACCTGCTCCGGCGCCCTCCCCACAAAACTCTTCGGCTCCAACAAATCCTCCAACTGTCCTTTAATCGAATCAAAATACTCATCCTCCCTCACCCTCTCAATCAAATCATTCTCCAAAGCCCAACTGCTTAACCTGATACCCCGTTTCATGCGACAACACACGAATCTTCTCGTGCGCCTCTTGGCGGTCTCCTCCGGCTTTGACGATCGCCATGATGATGTTTTCTGTAGCCATGAAGGGGAGTTCTTGGGATATGCGTCTGGCGATGACTTTGGGGTAGACGACGAGGCCTTCGGAGATGTTTTGGAGGGTGGAGAGGATGATGTCTGCGGTGAGGAAGGCTTCGGGGAGGGTGATGCGGCGGTTGGCACTGGAAATTGAGTTGGTTAGTAGGGAAAGATATTGGGAGGGTGGGTTGGCGCGTACCTGTCGTCTAACGTTCTTTCAAACCACTGCACGCTCGAGGTCATCAGTGCATTTTGGTGCAAGACCATGAGATGCCTCGCAAGACTACAAACACGTTCAGAACACATTGGGTTGCGTTAATATGCCACTGCGGAGGAACCGATTTGAGTCGATTCGAATGGTTCTTCAATTTCCTGAGTGGATCGTTAGGCTAGAAGTAACGTCATCAATAAGGAGATAGGACTGACCTTGAGATTGGCTAAAAGACGAATGTCGGTAGCGATTTTGTGTGCAGTAGCACCGAGAGAGGCCAAGGGAGCGAGAACGTCAACATCAATCTTGCGGGAATAGGTTTGAGATGTGACGGGGTAGGCGTAGTCAAACCAGAGTGTTTGGTTACGAGTGCGTCGAGGGCTTCAACCTAGTCGGAGTACCAACAGTTAAAATTTTGGTTTTTCGATTTCAGTTCGGCTCACCTTTTCGTGATCTGCATCGAACAACGCAAGGAACTAGCCTGGGTACCAGTCGTACCCTTCACACCACGGAATCCAAGATCTTCTCTTGCGCGTTTGATTTTTCAGAGATCCCAGGGAAGTTCCTAGAAACGTAGAATTTTATTTCGTTAGCTTGGATTTCGGAAAATTATTTCCTTACCTGAATCCACAATGTAGCACGTTTACCCACAGTAGTCAACTGGGCTGGTTGGAAATGCGTGAAACCCAAGGTCGGAAGATCGCGGTATTGGGCTGCGAATGACGAGAGACGCGAGATCAAGACGTATAGGCGGATCTAGGCGGATGAGGTAGTCTAGGCGTCTCGGAGGAAGATGAGGTCGGCATTGCTAGATACGGATGTCAATCGAGTTGGAGTATAGATGCGTACTCACTCGGTAAATACCACGATGTAGCACCCAAGCTAAGCAGAAAGGGTTTAGTAAAGCAAGGAGAAGGAGAGCGGACTACACTGACTGGATAATGCCTGCAGCTGCCGGAGCCACTGTTTCAAACGTATATACATGAGCCATAACATCTTGTCTTCGCTTCTTCTCTCCCTTGGCTGCAATATCTAATTGCTCTGGAGTTAGACACTGGAAACGTGAACCCAAGCGCGTCACAGCAGCACGTCGAGCGAAAAATGATACGAAAGACACATTAGTATCATGGTTAAACAATGACTTTTGACTTGCCAAATTGTCCTTCGTTTGCAAAATCGCTTCATCGGAAATGGGTAGTCCTAGTTCCTTCTCTGCAATGGCCAGGTTCAACCAGAGTTTTCTTTGCGATAATAATGGGCCGTGTGCCAGTAGTTTGCATGACGAAATTGGCTTGGGGTCAAATTACAGCAAGCTGTTCAATAACGCCGAGGAAAGGGATTGAATGCCATTCAAATTCCGATTATCGATTTCAATCGCGCGCCTGGCGCGTTTCAATTCATCAAATAATTTGACACTCTATCTATCTCTCGGGCAGCTTAGACCATTCAGCCAACAAGGACTTGGTTCTGGGGAGGAAGCTTGGCATTTCCACGCTTCACCTCGTTTCAATCAGCCACTAGGCTGGCAGCGGTTTGCCTTCTTGTTTTTCCTTTCAGGCTTCTGGTCTGTCCTCGCTCGTTTAATACCCGACCTTTTAGGTCTGCAGAATGTCTTACCATGGCGCAAATAAC